CATTGATTATCGTGTATCAGGAGTCCAGTGTCGTCCATGATATTTGGTACCAATGCTCTCTTCACTAAACCAGCCCAGTCATTGGCTCCAATGTTAGTCGTATTCATCTTGAACAGATATGGTTACCAGGTACGTTTGAGAGTAAACACGGCTGGTTCTTAGGAAGAATAGCTTGTGTTCAAAGGACAACTCATGGGCCTTACCCACGTGGCAGCCATGTTGACTTGAACAATAGATTTTCCCACGCGTAGCCTCGCATTCAAGTGCTTGAGAATAAATTTATGTGGGTTAAACAAAGATTGTTATTCTCACAAGAATAAACATGGCTGCCGTGTGAGTAAAGCCCATAGAGAGAAGTATGGACGGTGTSCAGTGTACCTCCGTAATAGGCCATGTCTACTTATATGGCAAAGTGATCTGATCTACAAGTCGTCCATTGTTGGTTCGGTCTTTGGATTCTCCAAGAATCAATAAGAAAATAAATTGCAAGCTGCTAGAAATTTTCAAGTATAAAAGATTGTGATCATTTAATGAAAAATGTTTTTTCTTATGTTTTAGAAAAAAGGGAGTCAAAAAACTCTACGAAGTTCAGGTGAGTTTGTATTTCGTGTGCCAAAATACTGACGTAATTTTATTCTCTAAGCCCTGCGTTGCTTGGGTGGGGGACTTTTGCTTTTTATTCACTGTCGCAACAACCGCAGACCACCAAACAACGCAGGCTTCTATCTTCTGAAATCTGTTTTTTAGGCGAATATGTTGCTCTACAAGACGTGATGTTCCAACTGATGTGTCTGGTGCCTATGTTTATCGCCTTTATACAAATAATTGTATGGAGATGGTACACACTGCGCAAGTCGCGACACAAGAAACCGCTGCTTGGCATCGAGGACACGATTTTATAAGCCGTGGATTTTATCCCACACTGAAAATGGCTGTAATATCAAGAAAACGGTAGAAAACGGTGGTTTGAAATTTAAAATAATTGTTTATAATAACATTCTAATAATAAGTTAAAAAAATACGGATTTATTTATTTGCTACAATTAATTTTACAACCCTTCTTGATAATGACACCAAGTAAAGGGCCAGAAAAGAAACGGGCAAGAAAAACGAAAATAAAAATAAATAAATAAATAAATAAAACGAAAACAAGAAGCTGTATTTTAGAATAATAGTCCCCTTCACATTTCCCTGCGCCATCTTGAAAGGTGAATAATTGTGTCCAAGGTGATAAAAAAGGTCTCTATCATTGCCAGCTCACCGTTCGTCTCGCTTCGATGCAAAGGCACGGCTAACTTTCAAGATGGCGCAGAGAAATGTGAAGGGGACTATCGAGCAAAAAACATTTTCAATTGAAAGTGTTTTTTCGTCCGAATGGTTCCTCTGGTCGACTAATGTCGAATATGCAAAACTTAATGACAATTTTAAAAATATCATATGMATGAAGATAGAATCACATATTCAACATTAATATCATTTCAAAAAAGTAAAATCGATCTAGATACTTTTATATWGTGTTTTATATTTTCTAGGTCTCGACTATTTTGTATTCAAAAGTAGAGGTTTTCTTTCGTCACACCTTCACTTTGAACTGAACTTGCCTGATGAATGGACTTCACAAAATGCCAAAATTTAAAGCCAGTTCTTGAAACTTATGGCTAATTCTACAAACGTATATACACATCAATCTCGTACCCAGAGCCTGCATTTCGTCTGGCCTGCKGCGAAGCACGAAGGCACTRGCATAATCCATTGTTTGAGACCAGGATTTCTAGGACTYCCGGTATAAGAGCSCATGCGTTAAAAGACTTGCAAAAGTAAAWGAWAAATGTTCCCTATTTATAATTTGTATTTGTATTRGGAGTAAACACAGAACTCTGTTTGAAAGCATGTTTTTCATTGATTATATTTCACTTCCGGAAAATTGCGCATGCGCCAAAAAAATGAATTATGCCAGAGCCATTCTTCGCCGCAGGCCAGAAAAAACGCATATTCATCAAATGTTTGCACATTCGAACCTAAGAAAACAAACAATTATTTGTCCACTGAGACGATGTAGAATTCTCAGTTGGAAAACGTGCTTGAAAGCASGCATGCGTTAATTTTCACTTGTGTCGAAGACCTGAAGTACACGTGCTTCCCGCTCTTTTTTCAAGGTCACATGATCATTTCCCCAAAAATTCAATCAATATAAAATATATTTTACGAATACTGAATTCCACGGCTTAGTACAAATGGCTTCTCTCCTTGAAAACCTCAAGAAAGATGTGCARTGTTCCTTGTGTAATGATAGATTTATTGAACCCAAGATCTTGTCGTGTTTTCACACATTTTGTAAGCTCTGCATCGAAATATACGTCGAGCTGACCGAGAAAGTCTTCAAGTGTCCAAAATGTAAATCAAAAACCCCTCTGCCATATCTAAACAGCGTGGAAGATCTAGAACCAAGCCTACTGCACTCAAGGATGGTGAAGGTGTTGGAGTTTGTAGAAAATGAGAAGGTTTGTTCTGTTACTGGGAGTCATCCACCAGCATCTTGGCATTGCTTTGAGTGTAATCGCTCGTTGTGTGACGAATGTGAGAAGAACCATTCAGTGTTTATCAAAGATCACAAAATTGTATCTCTTGTAGAGATAAAAGAAGGAGACGTCAAACTGATGTTGAGCAGAGAGACTAACTGTGTAGAACACGTTGATAAAATAGTAGAGTTATTCTGTAAAGACTGTGAAGAAATTATCTGCTTGGAATGTTTGAAACATGACCATGAAGGCCATTCAACCATCACTTTATCAAAATATGCAAAGAGTAAAAGTGCTTTGCTGTCTGATAAACTTGAGCAGCTTAAAATACGTGAGCAAACAATGGAAAAAAAATTCAAGGCCATGCAAGAAGTGACTGAAGAATTGAAAGAATCTGGTGAAAAAGAAAAGTGAGAAATAAAGAAAAAACTGGAAGAGACTATTAAAAAGTTGCAAATGAAAGCGATGGAGCTGGTGAAGCAAATAGACGATGATGTTTACGAGGCTGAGAAAATAACAATCAAAGGTCAGTCTGCTCGATCAGACACATAGTGCCATGGAATACATGAAGGAACTGATAGAAAAAGGAACTCAAACTGACGTTATTCATGTCAAAGACTTGGAATACAATGATAACATTCTCGAAGATGATGAACTTATTGAGAAAATTCAAGATTTAGAAGCAACATTTGATTTTAACAAGGAACTGATGAAACAAGTGAATTCTGGTCTKGGAACCTTGAGCAAAATTAAAACASATCACAAGATGAGCACCGCTGAAGTTGAAGGTRAACTTGAAGCACTAGAGATATGTAAGCTGATCATATCGACGAAAAGCAAAACTGGAARAMYCACTSRTYATMTAASWGATGTTATTGATGTTAAAATCAGCCCTGRARARAATGTGGAAATAAAAGAAAACTATRYRAGRAMTGATGGTAAASTAGAAGTGGAGTTCATRCCTAAAGTAGTTGGTCAACTGACAGCAGAGGTTCAAGTGAATGGGAACCATGTATCTAACAGTCCACTTAGGATTGACATAACCAAAGAGTTTAAGATGAAAGGTATAGAGACAAAATCTTCAGATTTTATAGGAATAGCTGTAAATAAAGAAAACACTAGGATCGCTGTTGCAGATCAGTCTTCACACTGTGTTCATGTATTCAACACTAATGGAGATCGCTTACTGACCTATACAAGCCTTCGTTCCCCTCAAGGTATTTCATTTCTGAATGAAACAGATTTAGTTATAGCAGATTACAATAATCATAGAATATGTATAGTGAACACTACAACAGGGGCATTGATAAAGACCTTTGGTAGGAAAGGAAAAGGAAATGGTCAATTTCTTTATCCGCAAGGAGTACACGTTGATGTCGATGGGAACATCATTGTTTGTGATCTTGGTAATCATCGTGTTCAAGTCTTCACAAGAGACGGTGACTATCAATATCACTTTGGTTTGTACGACTCAACGTTTGAGAAGGACAATTKTGGCCCTGTGAGTGCTGTAACATACGATGGACGTTTTTACGTCAGTGACTATACGAAAAATGTAATCTTTGTATTTGGGAAGGTGTATGGCGTATTGACTAGAATATCGACAATTGGTGGTAAAGGCAGTGCTGATGGTCAGCTGAGTAAACCATGGGGCCTGGCTATTGATAATGACCATCATCTACTGGTCTGTGATCGTGGTAATAACCGCATCCAAAAGTTCACGTTATATGGTCGTTTGGTTGGCAAGASTTGTAGATGCACTTCACCCAAGTATCTTACGGTTTTAAACGATGGCTTGTTACTAGTTACTTCAAACAAGAGGAAAGTGATGTATGCTGACTGTAAATAGAACCAGGACAGGGACAATGATAATTCATAATTGATAATAAAGGAGAATGACATCTTTACTAATTAAAATACTTTTCAGATATGACAGCAGAATTCCTTGCCTCAGTACCCTTCGTTTTCAAACAGTTTTTTTTAGCTGTACCCACTAGATATTGGTTATACTTTCACCAGTTGCACGGCTACACATTAACATGTGTTATTTATTCGTAAAATCTTCACTCTCATTTCGCAAGACTGATCATTTTTGAAAACGTAACGCGAAGGTACGATATATAATCAGAATGTTTAAGAATATGGAAATATGTTACTAATGTAAGGAAAATACGGGCATGCATGATTGGAAAAAAGTACTTTTGTAGTAACCCGATAAATATTGATCATTATCATCGTCATCATCATTGTAATTGTAATTATCGTTTGAAAGCCTTATGTAAAAAGTTTGAATAAGATTTGAGAARCATGGTCAATAGGCTGCCTCGCTCCGGTGCTACGACCGGGAAAACTGGAGAGAAAAAGACTCTGAAAACCAGAGTCAGATTCAGTGCAGCAAATATTCTTCCAAAAGTACGTCGTTACAGTCACGCGCATGGATCTGATCGGCTATAAATCAATGAAAACGTAAAGATCTACTAAAAGGTCAGACAGTTGGACTGGACGAGATATTTGACTATACTAGGTCATCTAAATAAATAACTTTAGTCCATTGAGAAGTTACTTTAGGCTAAGTGAAGGAGGTCTGGTATAAGCCCAGAATTGAGCAACAACTTTAACGAGAAAAAAGATCATCATCAGTTAAGGTCTTGTTGACCGTCGTAGCGACATGCAGAAGATGAACAGCGTTGAAGTTGAAGGTGAACTTGAAGCACTAAAGAAAACAAAGCTGGTCGTGTTCACGAATGCTCCAATACTCGATGAAAATCATAGCAATATTGATGTGAAAATTGTSCCTAAAGAGAATGTGAACATAGAAAAAACAAATACAAAAATTGATRGTAAAATAGAAGTGGAGTTCACGCCTAAAGTAGCTGGTCAACTGACAGCAGAGGTTCAAGTGAATGGGAATCGTGTATCTAACAGTCCACTAGTGATGAATGTCAAGCCACAGAACTTTAGAATTACCAGAGAGTTTAAGATAAAAGGTATAAAGCCAGGGGGTTTATCCCTAAAAGGCATAGCAGTGAGYAAAGATAATAGTAGAATCGCTGTCGCAGATGACTGCTCTCACACTGTACATGTATTCAACGTCAGTGGAGATCTCTTATTCAAATACATCAAGTTCTACCGTCCCCAGGGTTTGACCTTCTTAAATCGAACAGACCTAGTCATAGCAGATAACAATAATYATAGAATAGCTATAGCGAACTCTACAACAGGGAAAATATTAACAACCTTTGGTAGCCTAGGCAACGGTGATGGAGAGTTACGTCATCCACACGGAGTACACGTTGATGACGATGGTAACATCATTGTGTGTGATTATGGTAATCATCGTGTTCAAGTCTTCACAASAGACGGTGACTATCAATATCWGTTTGGWTTATCGRAGCCATACAKCTTTTATCCAGTTAGCGCGGTAACACATGATGGACGGTTTTACGTCAGTGATTCGGTTAACTGCGTTATTCATGTGTTCGAGAGCAATGGTAAAGTACCGACTAGAATATTGACGATTGGTGAAAAGGGCAATGGTGATGCCCAGCTCACAAGAGTATGGGGCATTGCTATTGATAATGACCATCATCTACTSGTCTGTGATCGTGGTAATAACCRCATYCAAAAGTTCACACTGGATGGTCGKTTGGTTGSCAARACAAGTTACAGCGATGAACTTAAAGAACCAGTCTATGTAATAGTTCTTGAAGATGGTCAGTACTTGGTTACTTGCTATCACGGTGGCGTCTTTTACATAGAGGTTTCTTGAGTTTCTAACGGTCCATACACCGAATCGAATTATGGCGACCAATTGGAATAAGCCACTGACTAGCGAGTGATTTACCTCTCATACATGTGAAAACACGAGGCTAGTCAGTCGCTAGTCAGTGCAGAACAATAGTTATTCCAATTGGTCGCCATATTTCGATTCGGTGTATACGACTTCATTTATTTTCTACGAACCTGCCGAAACCGTCCAACAAGAAAGGACATCGTAAAAATAACGAGGAGACGGTATCATCACATCACATCATGTYATAGTATTGAAAAAAGACCTTTTTGGGTTGGACTTATGGTTTGCTCATTTCAGACCAAGTGCCATTACCTTGAGTATTATTCCTTTATTAACGAGAAACATTTTTATTCGTAAATGAATAGGGTTATAAATAAAAACGATAAAAATAGACCTCTTCCACTTGGGCATAAGTGTTTCTCAATTTCAAGTCACGTGTCATTCCCTCGAATATTATTATTTTTTCATCAATATAAATTAATAGTTTAATCAATGACACAAAAAGATCTAAATAACCTTTTCGTCTAGTTTGGGCCGCATATTCTCGACTTCACCGCAAGTGTCATTCCTTTGAGTAATATCTCTCTGTTTAGGAGAAATAGTTTCATAGGTAGATTACGTTACAATGACAAAATGGATCAAAGTAGATCTCGTAAGTAACACCACTTAATTAAATCGGTGCAACTGAATCCTCTTCCACAGATGCGCGCGCAGCTGATYTGAAGCTGCCGAGGAAATCTGGGTACGAGAATGAGAAAAACTAGCGCGCTGGACAAAATTGCATTGGAAAGWGTTTCTTCACTAGGGAGATCCAGTGGGGATTTATCTGCTAGCTTATTGGAGCTTTTCGTTAGAGCTTCTATGTAACTGATATCAAGTATTAAAAGTAGACCTCTGCAGTTGTAGACATCCGGTGTTTTTTGGCTTTCTTTATTCGAATATGTACTTACTCAAAGACGGAAGCCAAAACACGAGAAAACTTCATGTGAAGATGCGGGAACATAAACGGTGCCCTAAAAAGAACACAAGTATGACCAGTGCTTAAAATTTTTATTGTTATTGTGTCGACTTGTTTAGAAACTAATTTACAATCTGTTCCCATCCATTAATTACTTGGCTACCACTGCTTATTTACAACCTCAAGCATGTTAAGGCCTGGGTTATGCACCAATTCTATATCAGATCATTAAAACTTTCTTAGATCGCGGTTCTTTACAAGTTGGTTCCAAAAAACGGGGGAAAATTTAGGTCACGTGACCTCGAAATTTACATATAATTTACATAAACGTTCATTTTAATAGTAGGTGCTCAATTTAAGTCTTTGCTGAACGTTTTCAACCTTAATTGATTTCCTTTCCTAAAGTCGTTCAATTGACATTGAGAATGGTTGGCTAAATTTTTGTGTTAAAGAGATATTTGACAAAACAGGTCACGTGACCTGTCAAAATATCCTTTATGCCCATTTTTCTCCTTTCGTAAACATTTTGGTCGACCATTCCAAACGTGAATATCTGTGTCTTTGTCGCTACTTTCAAACAASCTAAAGAAATCTCACAAATAATCTAAAACCATCACCTAGTTTTTAATTTAGCATTGAAGACTTGAAGGTCTAACCATTTGCAGATATTATTACAAAGGCAGCACCTTCTCCTCAGTTATTTTAAGACCCTGAGTGTTGGTCCGGCCGAGGCTTACCTTGAACCACGACCTCCCGCACAACAGACCGACGCTCTTACCAACTGAGCTAACCGGGTGGCGGTATATAATATTTATTGATGTTAAAATAAAAATTACCCATCCATCCACCCGCCCACCTCTTCCCCCCTCTCTCCCCTCTCTCTAAACTGTTAATCATTAAAAAAAACATGCATTAACAATTCATGAAGGAAACAATAGAAATCATTCATGACCATGAAGGAGGTTTTATATCTGATATAGATTCGTCTTCATTTGCATAAACTTTAACTTGGATTTTCTCTATCAAACTTGGTTCATTTCGTAAAGAATTCTGTACAATATGAGAACGTACATCATGAGTTTTTCAAGCCGTTTAATAAACTCGCAGATCGTGTTTTATCGGGTCTAAGACCACTCGGCTGCGCCTCGTGTTTTATACCCGATAAAACACTCCTGCTCGTTTATTAAACAGTACTTCTGGAGCTCAAGTATGTCATTAAGACATCCGCTGTTTGCGAACGTTGATAAAGTTCTAACAGCTTCCCCCAGTTCTCTGTGTATCTTTACATTTTTTCGTGTACGTTCGGCATTCAGTTATTTTTAAAGATATTTTACTGTCGACACTAGACATCCAAAATGTTACATCTTGTCCGACTGAGATGACGAAAGATAAAGGAGTTCCAGATTGTACTCGTGAAAACCTTAAATATCTAAGGAAAATCTGGCGCATAGTAGCCAGTAGCGAACATACGAAATGTGTTTTCACAAAAGTACCACCTTTTTCACCGCAGTTACCAAGGATTTACTGCCTTTCAGTACAGCAATGTAACCAGGGTTTGATATATCCATTTTACCCACCAAACGACCATCTAATGTGAACTTTTGGATGCGGTTATTACCACGATCACACACCAATAGATGATGGTCATTATCAATAGCCAAGCCCCGTGGTGTACTCAGCTGACCATCAGCACTACCTTTCTCGCCAATCGTCGATATTCTAGTCAAGACACCATCTTTCTTCTCAACTACATGAATGGAACATCCATGTTCATCAAGAACATAAAACCGTCCGTCGTGGGTAACTGTACTCACTGGGTTAAAGGAGCCTTGTTTTGTCCAATCAGCCTGAATTTTTCCGTCCTTTGAGAAGACTTGAAAACGATGATTGTGATAATCACTCACTATGATGTTGCCATCTTCATCAACGTGTACTCCACGAGGATATTTGAATTGCCCAACTCCTTGTCCCCGTTGACCAAAGCATCTTATCAGTGTTCCTGTGTCGGTATTGACTATACATATCCTATCATTACCAAAGTCTGCTATGACTAAATCTGTATCATTAAGAAATGCTAAACCATGGGGATTGTCCAACTGATCCTGACCGTTACCTCGACTACCATACGTCAGTAAGAGATCGCCATCAGTGTTACAGACATACACACACTGTGAAGATTTGTCTGCAACAGCTACTCTAGTGTGTTTTTTATTTACTGCTATCCCTGTAAAATCTGAAGATGTTGTCTGTATACCTTTCATCTTAAACTCACTTGTTATTTCCATCTTCTGTGGCTTCACATTTATCACTAGTGGACTGTTAGATACATTATTCCCATTCACTTGAACCTCTGCTGTCAGTTGACCAGCTACTTTAGGTATGAACTCCACTTCTATTTTACCATCAGTCGTCCTTTTCAATTTTATCTTCACACCATCTTCAGGAGTGATTTTAACGTCCACGACATCGTCCGGATCAGCATTAAGTTTTCCAGTAGTGGTCTTTGTTAACACGACCAAAGCTGATTTCTTCAGGGCTTCGAGATCTTCAGATTCTACCTCTATCAAACTCATAACAGGGTCTGTTAATATCGGTTTAAGAATTCCAATCCCTGAGTTCCCTAATGCATGAACCTCTTTGCTGCAAACAAACTTAAAGCGAGACTCTTGTCTACTTGGGTTATCAATACTGTTGTCATAGCCTGCAGTGTCTATAAGTGCTTCATTCATTTCATTCAAATTACCATTTTCCATCACTTTGCATACGTAATCCAAAACGCTCAGAGTCTTGYCTACAACAACTTGTCCTTTCGATTYTTTTTGCTCTGCTTTTTTTATTTTCTTTTCAATTTCTCTCTCAAGTTCTTTCTCGCTTTCTTCCAGCGAAGATATCAGTCGTTTGACCGTTTTTTGAACCTCTAATTTTGCTTGTTCACCGTTCTCTTTTGCTGTTTTTGTTATTTCTTTTAATATTCCTAATTGTTTTTGCATTTCCTCTTGTCGAGCTTTGAGGTGATCAAAAGCTTGCTGCAAAAGACTTCGTTTGGAAGAAATGAGATCTTGAATTTGAGTCGTGTTGTGAATGCCACATTTTTTAATTTTAAAGCAGTCAAAACAAAGACATTCATCACAATCGTTGCAGTAGAAGTTATATATTGCTTCGTGTTCATGACCGTAGTTTCCTCTCAGCATCAAAGCAACATCTTCTTTCTTTAAGTTATTCAAGCGGGTAGTTTTGTGAGCTTTGGTAAACACTGAATGGCTCTTCTCACATTCGTCACACAACGAGCGATTACACTCAAAGCAATGCCAAGATGCTGGTGGATGGCTCCCAGAAACAGAACAAATCTTCTCACTTTCTACAAACTCCAACACCTTCACCATCCTTGAGTGCAGTAGACTGGGTTTTAGATCTTCTACGCTGTTTAAATCTGGCAGAGGAGTTAGTGATTTGCATTTAGGGCACTTGAAGACGTTCACCGCTTTCTCGGTCAGCTCGGCGTGCCTTTTAATANCCAAAGCATCTTATCAGTGTTCCTGTGTCGGTATTGACTATACATATCCTATTATTACCAAAGTCTGCTATGACTAAATCTGTATCATTAAGAAATGCTAAACCATGGGGATTGTCCAACTGATCCTGACCGTTACCTCGACTACCATACGTCAGTAAGAGATCGCCATCAGTGTTACAGACATACACACAGTGTGAAGATTTATCTGCAACGGCAATTCTACTGTTTTCCTTATTTACTGCTATCCCTGTAAAATCTGAAGATGTTGTCTGTATACCTTTCATCTTAAACTCACTTGTTATTTCCATCTTCTGTGGCTTCACATTTATCACTAGTGGACTGTTAGATACATTATTCCCATTCACTTGAACCTCTGCTGTCAGTTGACCAGCTACTTTAGGTATGAACTCCACTTCTATTTTACCATCAGTCGTCCTTTTCAATTTTATCTTCACACCATCTTCAGGAGTGATTTTAACGTCCACGACATCGTCCGGATCAGCATTAAGTTTTCCAGTAGTGGTCTTTGTTAACACGACCAAAGCTGATTTCTTCAGGGCTTCGAGATCTTCAGATTCTACCTCTATCAAACTCATAACAGGGTCTGTTAATATCGGTTTAAGAATTCCAATCCCTGAGTTCCCTAATGCATGAACCTCTTTGCTGCAAACAAACTTAAAGCGAGACTCTTGTCTACTTGGGTTATCAATACTGTTGTCATAGCCTGCAGTGTCTATAAGTGCTTCATTCATTTCATTCAAATTACCATTTTCCATCACTTTGCATACGTAATCCAAAACGCTCAGAGTCTTGCCTACAACAACTTGTCCTTTCGATTCTTTTTGCTCTGCTTTTTTTATTTTCTTTTCAATTTCTCTCTCAAGTTCTTTCTCGCTTTCTTCCAGCGAAGATATCAGTCGTTTGACCGTTTTTTGAACCTCTAATTTTGCTTGTTCACCGTTCTCTTTTGCTGTTTTTGTTATTTCTTTTAATATTCCTAATTGTTTTTGCATTTCCTCTTGTCGAGCTTTGAGGTGATCAAAAGCTTGCTGCAAAAGACTTCGTTTGGAAGAAATRAGATCTTGAATTTGAGTCGTGTTGTGAATGCCACATTTTTTAATTTTAAAGCAGTCAAAACAAAGACATTCATCACAATCGTTGCAGTAGAAGTTATATATTGCTTCGTGTTCATGACCGTAGTTTCCTCTCAGCATCAAAGCAACATCTTCTTTCTTTAAGTTATTCAAGCGGGTTGTTTTGTGAGCTTTTGTAAACACTGAATGGCTCTTCTCACATTCGTCACACAACGAGCGATTACACTCAAAGCAATGCCAAGATGCTGGTGGATGRCTCCCAGAAACAGAACAAAYCTTCTCACTTTCTACAAACTCCAACACCTTCACCATCCTTGAGTGCAGTAGACTGGGTTTTAGATCTTCTACGCTGTTTAAATCTGGCAGAGGAGTWAGTGATTTRCATTTAGGGCACTTGAAGACGTTCACCGCTTTCTCGRTCAGCTCGGCGTKYCTTTTAATACAAGGCTTACRAAATGTGTGGAAACACGACAAGATCTTGGGTTCAGTGAGTCTATCATTACACAAGGAACATTGYACATCTTGTTCAAGTTTTGAAACGAAATCATCCTCCATTTTGACTTCAACTAGAAACCAGTCGAGCTTAACAATTTCTTTCTAGAAGGTACAGGTGTACTTTAAACTGTTCAAAGTCTTGTTTTCTAGGAAATTAAAGATTTCTTTGGAACGTGAATTTCACGAGATTCTCAGCTGAACCTATCTATTTTTACCCTGGACTCAAGAGCTTATATTTCTCTTCGAGTGGATTTCAGCTAACGCTGGAGCGAGAATAAATAACCTCTGGACCCTAGAGGGTAATTTGTTTTGAAATATTTTTTTTAATATATACAATATAATGACGATGTGCAAGCAGCATGGGCTGACATTTACGTAGGCGCCCAGGAATCGTTGTTAAGCAACAGTTAAGCTTACACTGATCGGTCGCGAATATTTTATATCTTACCCTATGTCTATAAGCCGGTATAATTGTAAGTGATACTAAAATTGTTGAGAATGAATTAAGTGAATTTAAATAAGGATGTGCATCGTAGAATGATATGCAAATGAGGATTATTCTCGATATTTCAAGATTTTTTTTATTTCCTCGTTAATAAATTCATAATTTGATAAAACGGAAATATCTAGATTATTGAGAATAAGGTGAATTTAAACAAGAATATTCATGTTAACGTAGAATGATATGCAAATGAGGACGATTCTAGATTTTTCAAGATTTCTTTATTTTCCTCATTAATCTTCATAATTTGATAAAACGGAAATATCTAGATTATTGAGAATAAAGTGAATTTAAACAAGAATATTCATGTTAACGTAGAATGATATGAAAATGAAGACGATTCTGGATATTTCAAGATTTTTCAATAATACTCATCAATATTCATTACTTTCAAAAAAGAAGTCAGAAGGTGGTCAAGGCGCGTGGAGCATTGTGGTTTAAAAGTTCAATTATGCTTCATTTGCGTTTGATCGTCGTTGTGCGAACATCTCACACCGTTTGGTGTGGATTTTATTGCACTTGGTGATCTCCTATATCTACGCTGTGGATTAGGGTTAGACTTTCAATTTCTAAATACTTGTACAGTGAAGTCTCTGCCATTTATGGAGGCAGCATGGTCGAGTGGTCATAGAGCAGTTTTCGTATGACCGTGAAAACCTCACGGGACGAACACAGTTGTGACACGGCAAGGGATACGCCAGACCAATCACACTCCTCGAAAATTTACTCACCATCCAATCAAATAATCGGAACGCGGCATAAATACGGCGCAGACACGCTCACACCAAAGTCACGACACTGTCAGACCAATCACATTGCGCGAGAAATAAATCAGCCAATCAAAATTCTAGAAACCATCACGGTCACGGCAAGGTACGCATACGGCACTGAGCTTTTCACAGTCATACGAAAACTGCGCTAGCAATCCGGTGGTGCTGAGTTCGAGTCCCGCTGTGGCCACTAGCTGAGACTGTATTTGTACTGGTTTCTGATTASTTCAAATTCAGTTTCTCGACAATGCTATTGTAAATTATGATAGCCAACTGGTTTGCCTCCAAATTTTTTTATTTCTATTTTATTTTTTCAATAAAACTAGTTGGGGCCACGTGAGGTTCACTGACAACCCTCATCGTCATTGTCGTTGTGATTGTTTTGTTTCCTGACGGGCAAAATATCCGAGAACTAAATGAGAAAAGCTGGCCTTTGACCATGCGGAGAGCTGTTACTTGCTGCAAAATAGTGCTAAGTAGTGGATATTTAATTTGATAATTTTATTTAAACGCGATTGATTGAGTAGACAAAAGTTTATATATGTTCGTTCAGTCAGTTCCTAGGCATTATCTGGAAGGTAGATGAGAAAAGGTCTTTTAATCGTGAAGATAATGTTATTATAGATTTATTATTTCGTGGAAATAAGGGATGTGCCTTRGCATGAAACTATAGCACCAAGAGACCTGATGAAGGTCTCCTGATAGCGTGACTTCTAAGTTGGTACCGTGATGAATTATATTTCAGTTATATATGATATCGCCCCATGTAAGGGAATCCGGACTTATGGTGGATTCCGGATTCCAAGCGCTGTATTCCGGATTCCGAGACTCTGGATTACGGTTCCAAAACAGTTTATATTACGGATTCCGGATTCCGGATTCCATATCGTTAATTTTCAGATACTTTCTCTGAAAATTATATTTGATATACTTGCCAGTATAAGTAGAATCTTCTATCAATTAAATCAGCATCTGATGACAGATATTCTTGGTGGAGATATTACACAGTGGGGGAGGGGCTACATCGGTTCAGTCTAGGTCGAGGGGATAGCATTTGCGTGTATACTTTGAACTTCAAAGTAGCGGATTCCGGATTCCAAAAGGGTGGATTCCGGATTTCATTATAAACAGGATTCCGGATTCCAAAGCCTAAAATTTCGTGGATTCYGGATTCCCTTACATGGGGCGAASGATAAATAGTTCTATTATTGCACGGCAAATTTGTCATCTCGTAAGAGACATAATAAATCAAGTTTGGTTGTCACTCAGTGTATTAAAACATGTTTTAAAAACACAGACGCGTTGAGCGTGTAAAAGTTTTTTTCTTCTTCACACCGAGKAAGGTTCGAAACGTCTAGCAGTGTATTTTTAATACATTTAATACATGTTATTGCCTTTTCAGTTATGTTTAGTTAAAGTGGTTAAKACACGTTCAGTACTTTATTATGACATTTATTTGTCAACTCATATTTGATATCTCTGCAGGGTGCAGAAGATCCTTTCAATTCATGARCCCTTTCTGTCAGCTCGCATCCTTGCAGCACTTCTAATGCATTTCCCACTCCTGGGTGGACGGCGTTATGCCTAACAGATTTTGCAACCCCACTGATAAGGTAC